CTATCGTTAAGAAGCAAAGAAAATATTGTTAACAAGATGTAAATCTTAATGTCGCCCGGAGATTTGAATCTAAACTGTAGTTAATCCACCAACTTCCATTTTTTTTTGTTTTTTTTTTTCAATTATTAAGAATTGTCCACATTCCAAACTATCCAACCAAAATTTGTCCAAAAAACATCACTAATCACGTTCACGTAGTTTACAGGAGAGTTTCAAAGAAATATTCTCCACCTTGTTCAAGAAATTTAAATATTTTATCTCAAGCCCACTAAGCTAAGTGTTCTAAATGAATAATGAATTTAAACTAACTAATTAATTCTAGATTTTTCTCGTATCATACGGAAGAACTTGTTCTCGACTGTGATAGCAGGTGATTCACGTTTGTACACTCTCGTTATTTCGAAATAGCTTCAAATTGTGGAAGTTTTTTCTCTAGCTGAGGATCAGCTTAAATGAGAAAAAGGAACTTGTTTCGCAACTTAAACTTTGATCGCTATAGTAATCTGTTTGTCAAATTCTACTAAGACCTTAAATTGCGGTTAGCTGTTTTTGTGGTTTGTCACAGTTTTGTTTACAACCTAACGAAAATTCAAAGTCCTCAGTCCTTTTTTTTATAACTGAAGGGCCTCAGAAAGCACTAGAGAATTTATGGAAAAGTATTGAGGCAGACGTTTGGAAAGTTGTTGACAATTTTCGTCTGATCTTCAGAACACTCCACTCATCAGCAGGTAGGTCTAGAAATAATTCAAAATTGGCGAGGTATGCACTTATTTTTTCTGTCTTTCCTCTCAGCGAAAAACCCTTGGTGGATATGTTATATAAACTTCGCCCATGCCTCTTTTTGAGCGTAAGTAAGAAGCAAACTGGTATCTATATCTGCAGCAGCTGTGTAGGAGCGATTGTCTGGTGTAAAAAGCGAAAGGGTTCACTTCAGCAAAGATAAAGTTTGTAACAGGGCTGGTTCTTTTAAACAAAGTTTAGCCGTTGTGTAACAAAACTACGCCCTATGTTATCTTGAATTTAGCTGAATCTTTAACCTGAACATTTATTTTTGCGAACAGTGTCAAGAGCGCTGACAGTGGAATGACTTTTATTCAATGAAAATTAACCTCTTATAGAGAATATATACGGGCCACTGCTTGCGTTTAAATAAGCGCCCTGTGTGTTTAGTTTGTGCGGCATAAGAAATAGGCCACAAATTGTGTTGGTTAGTAATTGCCACTGGCAAATTGACATGATCGAGAAAGATTTTCGAGTGTTTTCCGAATCTTAAAGATAGCTCAATATACTGATAAACCAATGAAAAGGAAGTACGCGCTTGAAACACATACCAAACGAAATTTAAATGACCAATCGGAGGGCGCGGTATAACAATAATTTTCACATAGAGAAAAATTTCATATATTTCATGTCATTTGGTGAAAGGCACTCAAGTGCTGTAAAGCTGTTGCTTTAAATTAAGAACTTTAATGGGCTTCCTGAGTTGATCGAAAGTGATTGTAAGTCTTTTGCAGTTAAGGAACCAATTGTTAAGTTACTTTTGGTGTAATTTCGTAGTTCATTTGGTCATTTATATCCAATCTTCTTAGTACGTAAGTGTCATTCTATGAGAACAGAATTCCACTTTAAATTTTTTTGGTGATGTTTGAATTTAAGTGACCCAGCATTTGGAATCAAACCACCACGCCGTGAAATCTTGAACTTTGTACAAGATGCCTCCATTTTTTAAAATAACCATACATACATACATGTATACATACATAGGTTCTTTGACCACTCCCCATAGGGGCTTTTCAGGGCCAACACCCACCTATCCCACCCAGGGGAGGACATCCACTACACAGTAATCCAGTGCGTGGGAAATTAACGTCTCCTACCCCTAACACTGCAGAAGACGGGGCCTACAGTTTATTCGTCCTTATCCGAGAAGACTAGAATGCCTATCCATTTTTTGATTATAGAAAGGTAGCAAATTCTCCTCACTTATTTTAAGACCGTGACTATTGGTCCGGCTGAGGCTCGAACCCTCGACCTCCCGCACAACAAACTCCGGCGCTCTAACCAATTGATCTAACCGGGAGGCGGTTAACTGTAATTTCGTAAGAGACTAATATATTCTCTAGTACATTTGCAAGCCCTAACAGAAGGCTTGTTTTTAATATTTCGATGACTTTCGTAGAGGTTAGAAATGCTCTAAAATTTTTGGCTATGGCCTTTGCAAGTTATTTTGTTTTCAGAAGTACTTTTTTGTGTATCTAATGGAAACGGTAACTTTTGAATACTTCGTCATGACTATTTTAAAGTATCAAGGTATTGCAACTTGGCATAAGAAGCCTTCACGTTGTCGCGTGAAAATTAAAAGACATTCATGAAATTGAATAGGAAAGAAAGGGTCTGTAATTACGATCAAAAGGGGAATACTGAGGATAATGCATAAATGTAATTTTATAGGCGTAATTGAAGTAAACACTTTCATCTGTGTGAAACTCCTTTGGTGCTTCTATGCGAATTAAATATGTGATGGAGTGACAAAAGAAAATCTGTTGTGTCTTGCCTTATCCAACGCCAATTGATTACTTACGAAATGGTGGCGAAGTCTCGCTATTTATATATGAAAACCAAGAATACTATTTCGGTTCGATTCATAACTTTTGAAGTTAAATATAAGTTAGTTATAATGCATTCCTGTGTGTTATCAACTCAGTGGTGTTAGAAAGACTTGTCATTGATTTCTTTGATCCACAATCTAGCCGCTGCATACTGTGAACATTCAAGCCGTGCTGTGAACATGAGGATACAGTGGTCATATTAAAATTATATCTCCAAATACTCTAGGGGTGCGCATTCTTGGTTTAGAGGAAGGGAAATAAATCATGGATCTAATATCAGTTTAGCACACACAACCCACAATTCCTCTATTCGCTCCGACGAAGGGCTAACGCTCGAAACGTCAGCTTTTATAATCGTAACGGTGGCCAATTTAGCATTCCAACTTTGTTGATATATTGAAATTATTTTGTTTCCCCCACCGACGCAGCCCCAAACAGTTTCTTTAGAAACTAGCAGCCTTTATTCAGTTTACTTTAGTTTGGTTTTTCATTCTTTCAAAGTCGCTTAAACTGAGAATGGTGATGACGAACGCGTCTTTGTCACCTATTGTTCTAAGTCAATAAAAAAAAAAAACCGATGCTAACACGCAAAAAAGGTGCGGTCATCATTAAAACGCGCGGCCAAAACCGGATTCTGCAGTTCCCAATACTTTCTACCTTTAAACTTGGATAGAGCGCTGGACTGTTGTGCGCGAGGTCGAGGGTTCGAGCCCCGGCCGGACCAACACTCAGGGTCTTAAAATAATTGAGAAGAATTTGCTACCTTTCTATAACATCAAGAAATGGTTAGATATTCTAGTCTTCTCGGATAGGGACGAATAAATGGAGGTCCCGTCTCCTGTAGAGTTAGGGGCAGGAGATGTTAATTTACCACGCACGAGATTACTGTGTGATGGATGTCCTCTCCTGGGGTGGGATGGGATGGGTGGGTTTACTGGGCCCGCAGTAATTGGCGCAAGCTGTTGCGGCGTCCCTGCCTGTCGGCGAAGTTATTAAATGAAATTAAATTAAATTAAACTTAACAAATGGAAGGTATTGTCAAATCTTGACGTCAGTTTAATACTGAAGATTTTTGAAGCGGAGATGCGATTAAAACTGAAACAGCTTGGAAATGTAAACTGCATGGCTATTTTTGTTGAAGCTTTACCATTACGCAGTCAAGAAGAAAATTCGCTACTTATATAAGACATAAATTGATGCAAAACATATGCTTAGAAGAATTTGTCAAATTCCAGCACGAATACAGTAGGCTAGACTTGGCGCAATTTTTGCTTTTGAAATGAACAGCTTAAATCCTTCAACTGGAGCACATCAATCCTTTTTTTCTTCTTATTAAAATGATATTGCCAGAATCCAACATAATACTCGGTCAAAATTTCACTCCAATTTCTTTCATCTAATAGCGCTTTGCTCGTCAACAAAGTTATTTGAGTCCATATCTTGTCTAACATCTGACCATACCTTTTCAAGACAGAAGTTTCTAATAACGATCGATGAAAACCCATTGAAAACTGAGAAATAACTGGCAAGAGTCCCAATATTCCATGGAAATAGTTAGGGAAATTTGAGCATTTTAATCGATTTTGCACATGCCGACCTCGAGACCTTGAAAACCAACAGATCAGAAATAGTTGTCAGACCTGCGACTAAACTTTGGAGGTGTCGTAGAATTTGGATGAAACGGTCAAAATTGTTTCAAACGACGATAACTGCTTTACAAGAAATTCACTCCATCAATAGATTTATTTGTCTTATCTAAGTAGATAATCAAATACAATTCGAATTAATTAAAATATTTGAGCCAAATATTTGGAAGGCCTACTTCAGATAAGACATTTGATATCTTTATGATTGACTTCTGGAAAGGTTTATTATTTGTCAACAGCAATTGAAACCAATTGTGTACAGCTAGAATAATTGCATACTTAGAGCGTGTATCAGTTGCAATAAATATTCTGTATTCTAATGAAACAAAACTTGGTCGAAAGATTTGTAGCGTTACCTACTGACCAAGTAAACTTGATGGGTTTCTCTTCATTCACTCCGTATCGATTATTTGTTTGTTTTCTGATTTGGCTAAACCGAACTCAGTCACTCATCAATACAAAATGCGATCACCAGGCTGTTTTCTGCATGTCGCATTTACGTCATATCAATAAATAAAGGCTGATAGTTTCTAAAGAAACTGTTTGGGGCTGCATCGGTGGGGGTAACGAAATGTATATCCAAATTATTACGTCATATCAACTTGGACATTACTTCTTTTATTACCAGATTACCTCTACCCTTGTTCTGCTAGCAAACAAAGCTCTCCTTTCAGAACTCCCGTATGGAAGCTTCATTTGACAAATCCAAATCCTCTCACTGAATCCTTTTGCTTTTAATCCGTAGAGCAAATTTTGAACCAAGGGGTTAGCCCTGCTGAATCGTCAACTAAAGCTGCTGACGGACCCTTGAGGGCAGTTAATTGATCAAGTTACTCTGTAAGTGGAAGTAGTTAGGAAACACCTCTAGATATACGTTTATTTATGTTGGCATCATTTTGATCACATCTGAGATGTTAACAGCCTCCCGAAAGTAGATTGTACGCCATTCGAAATAGCCAAAAATGATATGCATGTCAAATGTACTCATCGGCTTTGGAGAAAGCTGTCAGTTTTACAGAGCGGATGAGTTGAGACTATTATCTGTCAATCTGATACCTCATTTTTCTACTCAATCGCACCAAAACCTGCTACTTTGATCTCATTGTTCATAAAATTAAAATGATCGAGGACAGAGTGGGGCTATTTGAGTTTGGCTGAAAAATAATATGACCTTTTCAAGAAAACGGTAGGTTGCAGATTCAAAATGTATTTACAAACGGCTGGTGAATCTTCCCAGACATTGAGGTCATCGTTCGTCAAAGCTTAACAGCATTGGCGTGGCTGTTGATATGTAAACTTCCTTTCTCTTTCGCTCTGTCATTGGAAGAATACTTGTTACCTAAGCGTTTTTTCATTTGCCTGAAGTGCTAGGGATTATTGTTTCTAGATATGGAGTGAAAATTGACCGGCTCAATCCACCGATCCTAGGACGTGCATGTGCACATTTTCTATTTAACAAATGGTAAACACCACAGCGTACACTATTGACTTATGGATGCACGAGGGAGGTTGCTAAGCACGAAAGAAGCGTAAGAGTCGCACGAGGCGATAGCCGAGAGCGACTCTAGCTTCTTGAGTGCTTAGCAAACCTCCCAAGTGCATCCATAACTCAATAGTGTACGCTGTGGTGTTTACCATTTGTTTTATAACATAACATTGATACATTGTAGCTGAAGAGTTCCCTTTTATTTAACAAATCTTACGCGACCGTAAAAAAATCTTACGCGCACGTAAAAATAGTCTTTGCATTTGCTCACGTCAGCAGCGTACACCCATGGGCAAATGGGGGACGCTAAATTGACCAATCAGAGCGCGCGCTTTACTTTGGTTATGTTATAATAGCAGTTCAATTAACTCTTAGAAACTAATTCAAATTTCAAGGAGAATACTTCACTGAAAATAAGCCGTGACCATTTCCTTTCTTCTGCTGACGTTAGGCCCAAATGTGAAACAGACAGTCTGACAAAAATAATCACACAGCACGAAGTCAAACCTCCCATAGTACACTTAAATCGACGGGAACTTTCGATGATCAAATGCGATAAATTATAAATCCACCAAAATTCGTGCAGATACCTCTGAGTAGCTGTTAATTCGACCACAAGGATTATAAAGATAAAACCAATTTGGAAAGTAACACTTTAAGTCAGTTATGCTTGAATAGATCGTGTATAATAATCTGATGTTCAAGTAATAATAATGTGTAAGATAGTTTTCACAACAGCTTACTATATGTCTCTCTCGAACGTAAGCAATTGACAACATACGCTTTAACTGATTTCCTGCTCCTAAAAGAGAGTCTGTTTTCAAGCAAGCCACACCATAATTAGTCACAGTCTACTAAAATGAAGGATTCAGAAAAGATTAGATAAAAATCTGATAGTTTGACCACTATCCATTTAAATAAGACATATTTTGTCTAAAGTCGTTCAAAATTACATTGATATGGCTGAAGTAATTTCTAGAAATCTTTGCCCGGCGGTAATCATACGAGACTTGGCTTGTCACCGTGGGCCACTCTGTCATTGTAGTATGTTTATAGGGTTTTAGATTTATTATTCACTAACTGATTGATCAGAGTAATTCAAGAAAATCAATGGGACGTTTTATGAAGGTTTAGCTCTCTTAAAGTCATACCCAAAAGGCTATTACGACCGTTAGAAGACTCCTCTTTGTAACTGTTCACTGTTATCGATATTTTTACGAAAGTGATTGATAACTTAGCGCCATTCTTTACATACGCCACTAGTAAATTACTAGTAAAACACAAATTTTTCAAGAAATTAATAACTAAAAGGATTAGTCTCAATAAGCATGTCTTTGTTTTGAAGGAAAAATACGATAGACAGAGCAGAGATTAACTCAAACAATATTTCTTTCCCTTTCAATTTCATTTGAAATGAAATACTAAATTTCACAACTAAATTAATTCTCTTCTTGTCTTCCACTTGAAACACGAGAAGTCCGAGAAGGGGCGGCAAATTTTGCGAACTCGCGATAACCATCGATAGAGAGCACCTAGGTTCATAACCTTTACAATTTCTCGAAGCTGCTATTACGTAAACGATTCAGCTTTAAATGCACCCAATCCATTTCTTGTTTGTGAAAGCCGGGTTCACTTTCATTTAAAGATAGTTGGTTTAATGATCACACCTAAGGATTGCTTGTAGCTCCCTGAGGAACGAAAAGCTTGCTATCATGTTGAGATGTCTTAAACAAAGGTACAGTCTTTTTTTTTTGCTTTTTTAATTCATCTTCATTACCTAATGCCGTTGCTTCACCCGAAATTTTCTCTTATTTCGAAATCCTATAACCACAATAACTAATGCCAAAAGAGAATAAATTATAAGCCCAACCCGGTAGAAGTAAGAGTTCATGGACTTATATTTCTATAGTGTTTTTGTTGAATTCGATATTACAGTAATTGTTTACCAAGACATTTCTTTGTCACGTGGACATCCCATGCTTAAATAGAACTGACATGGATTTCAGAAAGGAAATGGAGCTCATTGCAAACGTCTGCAGGTGTAAATGCAGAAATTCTGACTAAGGTAAACTAATCCAAAGCGAAAAAAAGCCTTTTACTCGATTATTACGAAAGAAGCATAATTGTGCATTTTTTCGTGATGAATTTCGCCTCGTTCTCCACCAAAAATTAGAAATAATTTAAGGAAAATTTATCTTCGTCACAACTACTTATCGCACCTTAAATCAATAGATCTTTACTT